CTGCCGCAGTATATGGCATTCAAGTTTAAAGATTTTTCTTTCTTTAAATTATTTAATAAATCATCTAAAAAAAATCTAGGACATGCAAGATGTGTTCCTTGACATTTGTGATTTTTTTCGGGATTTTATTGCAAACTATGGATTTTTAATGATTTTTTTTGTTTTGAGTAGGGTGTATTACCGCTAACCGTGGATTTTGGCGGTGCTGTTCCTCCATCTTTTGAACATATACTTTTGACCCACCAACTGAGATGGCCACAGTATCTATCTCACAGATGAGATTCATCCCACATATTACATTAATCCCTAGTTTAACCCTTCCTGACCAACGCTGTGGTTGTCTTCTGCTGGTCCAGAGGTGAAGCGTGGAGCTTTTTCCGCTGGCTGGGAAGGTGCAAGGGGGCCGTGGTCGCTTGGCTCCCGCGGTCGCGATAGGCCGAGCGGAGATAGAGGAGGATGAAGAGGAGCAGCACAGGGTGATGAAGAGGATGAGGGGAAGCAGCAGCAGGCATAGGCTGAAGAGCAGGAGCATAGGCTGGGAAGGAGCGTGGAGCCGGCGGTCGCTTGGTTCCCGCGGTCGCGACATACCAGGCGGTGCGAGCTGCGAGGGCCGTCAATACCGCTCGCGGTTTTAATTTACAAATATTTTCCATCCCTTCTCACTACTTTATGCTAAAATTCAATCTGAAAAACTCAAATTTATTCATACAATTACTTGGTCTTTGGCGCTCAGACCTCGGCAGGAAACATAGCGCTGTATTTTGATAGAACAAGAACAAAGATAGGACTGTTTCCCCCCAGGCCTGAAACTGGTGGTAGAGTGGAGATAGATGAAGTTGGTCAGTCTGTAGACTGCTGGTTAGAGAGACGGTCTGCTGAGCTTTATGGAGAGATCCAGTGGACTGCATGAGCTGATACTAGAGCTTCAGTCAGGGACCTGGAAGATGGAAGTCCAGTTTGGAAAACACAAGTTCAGAGAACCTGGCCATGATGAGCAAGCATGAAGCGACAGTGGAGAGAAAAAACTCCCCGTTGCGAAGAAACATTTGGCAGAACCAGGCTCAACATGGCTTCTGCCAGACCAGTTGAAATGAGACGCATGATGCAGAAAGAGTGCAGGAGGAATTAAAATCTGGTAAAGTTTTAGGTACAATAGAGGAGGAGGGGCTGGAGGTGGGTTGATGTACGATGCACCCTCAATAGTAGTGACCATCCATGGTCACTAGACATTTTGTTGTCACGGTGATCCACTGTCGTCTATGGCTGTCGCTACCCGACAGATGACAAAGATGGTATAGACACCATCCGGGGGGAGGAGGAGACACGTGACCCATGGGGATGAAAAGTAGCGATCATCTGTTGGAACAGTCAGTCAACTGAGTTCGCTATCAAGTCCACTATATAGTCCTCGCCAGGCTAGGACTGGGAACAGTTTTTGGCCCTGACATTTTTCCACCTATACCGGCCCACTTGGGAAACATCGCAACCTGGCAACAATCCACGTAAGACGGGAAACGTTAGATGCAAAACCCCATCATGCACTTCAACATATTTTTGCAAAATATTCGAACATAAATTCGCCAAATATAAGAGTAACATCGTAGTTTAGTTTAAAGAAAGTATTTTAGTTTTATTATAATTTAGTTTGTTGCAAGGATTTTACAGTTTGAAGAAATAGAAAATTACACCTTATTGCAACCGTCACAAGGATGTGCATGACAAGGAAGGGCTATATATACTGCATGCATCATTTAGGTAGTTAACATTGGATTACTTCTTGAGCTCCTTGATTTATTTACTGTAGCATCTCCCCCAAATGATGGTCAAAACTTGACTGATGGTTTTCCTGTCTATTGGAATGTCAGTAATCCTTTTAAAAGTCCAACATAAGAGCTAGGCAGAGAAAAGAAGAAAAAATATATTACAGTACTGGCTGATACTACGTAAAATTAGCACCTTATACGTAAGCTACGGAGACTTAACAAACAGAAAAAACTTCTTCACAAGCATTTAAAAACCCAAGAACACATATTAAACATGTCTTATCACATAAGCACTAACCTTGTGTCGCTTCAGAGCGTGCAAGTCCTTCAAATAAAACTTAATATTTTAACCCTCTCAGGCTCAAATTAAGTTGTAGTTGCAGGAAAAATCAGATATTTGAAGAAAATGATCATATAGGGTAGTAAGATACAATTCAGACTTTTTTTTTGAGAGAGAGCCCTTCACATGCAATGGATTCTGGGATGTTGCAGATTTGCAACAGTGGCCCGGAGTGGTAAATTGACACTGAAGACTGAATCTGATATGAACGTTAACTTTAGTTGAATGTCACAAAGAAAAAATTCGAAAAAAAAAAAATTTCTCACAAAATGTTTTCTCAAACTTCTTAAAACCTTTTGAGAAGGCCGTTTCTGTTAAACTGTTGCTCAAAATATAGGCAAACTAGAAGATAAAGCATGTAGCATCCTTTGGTACCTGTTTGGGCACACGTTGCGAATTCACAACATTGAAATCGAGATGCCTCTGGTGAAAAACCCAGAGGAGATAAAATCTACTAATTGGCATGTTTCATATCTATACACATTCATGATTCATCTTATGTAGTATTGATTTTAAAATAATGGAAATTGGTAGTGATAATTACATGAAATTGGTGCTTAGAAAATCTGTTTCAGTGACACCAAGGACTCAGCCATGTTGAAAGTGAGTCAGCGGTGTCATGTGGTGAGCTGGAGAGAAACTACTTGTTGCAAATGCACAACTAAGTCCTTCTGTTGTACTTCTGAGTAACAAAAGCTCTTAAAATATGGATGTGAAGTAATTAGCTAAGTAGCTTTTAGCTGTTGCAAATCTGCAACATCTGCCTGGAGAGGGATAACTATGTTCCCTTCTTTTTCTACGTTTCAATCTTAGCCGGTAGCCACTAACAAAAAGTCCGGTCAAGTATTTTCAAAATAAAGTCCCTTAAAATAAGGTAAAATGTAAAGCATTATAAATTCGCTAAAATAATGAGGGCAAAAATAATAGCTTATAATAATTTCACATTGTAATATGTCTTGTAACTAAATTGGAAATCGGGTCATTTACATTTACTTTACTACTTATTTTTATGGCGACTTTTTACTTCTACTCCTTACATTTAAAAAAATTGGCTCGTTACTTTAGTTTTGAATCATTTCAATAGAGTTACCGTTATTATTTTTCTCATCACCAATACCAAATTCAATCTAATTGGATGGGAATCTACGTTGCATTTGATGCACCACTACAAGATGAATCGACAGATTCGGCGGTATTAATTCGCGGCAAACCATTGCTGCTTGGTGGCGGTGGCGTTAGCATAGTAGCATGGACGACGAGATGATTGAAAATGAACACAACGGAGATCTAGTCCTATTGGCAGACATCCATTTAAAATGTAGGCAACGGCATCAAAAAAGTGGTTTCTACTTTTACTTTTATACTTTAAGTAAATTTACAAGCCTGTACTTTGTTACTTTTACTTGAGTAAAGAAGTTTAACCAGTACTTCCACTTTTACCAGAGTATTTTTTAACACTAGTATCTGTACTTTTACTTTGCCATCTCTGATGGTTTGTGAGAGCTTTGCTTCCAGATTCAGGAACTCAACTGGGTTATGTAGCAGCACAATAGTTCTTAACAGCCTGTTTTAGTGGAGCTAAAAAGCTATTAAAGAAAAAGCTAAGGAAATATATATAAAGTGATATTTTCATAGAAAATGAACGCGGTTAAAATGGATTTTCTTCATATACTGGCTGACATTGTGTTTTCCTCCTCTGTGTCTTACTGCTAGCCTCTATCCAGCGGCAGGCAAAGCGACTGCGAGGCCGTAATGTGCACTTTGAGAGCGTCACTGTGTACTATTTCACACGGCGACAGGGCTTCACCAGCGTTCCCACACAGGGTGGTAGCACCCTAGGGATGTCCCCACGCCACAGCGGCGTGAAGCGCTTCACCCTCAGAGAGTTCGCCATGGAGCAGAAACGGAGCCATCGGAACATGCTGAGGGATCACCTGAAAGAGGAGAAACTCAATGCCATCAAACTGAAAGTTAGAGGAGAAACTCAGCATATGATCAAACAAAAGGTTTGAATTTAAATTGATGTAACGCTCTCGTCGTTTCAGCTAACCAAGAACGGCACGGTGTCCTCCATGGAGGCTGAAACTTTGACTCTAGATGACATCTCAGAGGACGACCTAGATGTGGACAACACGGAGGTGGACGATTACTTCTTCCTCCAGCCTCTGACCACCAGGAGACGACGCGCGCTTCTCCGGGCCTCAGGGGTCCGCCGCATCGATGTGGAGGAGAAGCATGAGCTGCGGGCCCTGCGGATGTCTAGAGAGGAGTGTGGGTGTCGCTGCCGGGGGATCTGTGACCCGGAGACCTGTGCTTGCAGCCTGGCCGGCATTAAGTGCCAGGTAAATGGAAATGTGGTGAGACACATCTATAATACTCAAGTTTTGTAAATGTGCATCTGTGTGAAGAAGCGTAGGGGATGAAACAGGAAAAAATTTAGAATCAGGAAGATTTGCAAAATGATTGAGTTGAAGTTGAATGAAAAAACAAACATATACAGAGAAAGAGTTTTAACTAAACCAAAATGCAACCTTGTGAATATTTAAAGAAAACAAAAACATTTAAGACAGATGGAACAGTAGATGATGGAACATTACACCAAGATCACAACATGAAATACTAGTTGGTATAAAATAGAAGGGTCTGTAACCATCGTGGTGTAAGGAGCCATTTTTCCTTTCAGTCCAGCTCATAAAACTCATTTAGAGCTGCAAACATTTCCAGACAGGTTTATTTAAAAAAATAAAATAAAACTTTTATTTAACAGATATTCATTATAGGTTTCTAAAAGTTTTGGAAAATCATATAATGAAAGATAAAACTACTCCGTCTTAAAAGGTTAAAAAAAAAATCTAATTTCTGATATTATTAGGGTCATTTATACGGAGCCCCTCTGATGACATGGTCAAAAAAAATTTTTAATTGTGGCCACGAAATACTACTTCGTGGCCACATAATAAGTTTAACGTGCGCACGAAATACTTTTTAATAATATTAATATCATTCCTGGACAACTGGGTAAGAAAATTGAGCGTGCCTTCTCTAAGGTCTAAGGCGCGCTCGATTTGCTTACCCAGTTGTCCAGGAATGATATTAATATTATAAGTATTTCGTGCGCACGAAATACTACTTCGTGGCCATAATTACATTTTTTTTTTGACCATGTCCCAGAGGGGCTCCGTAATTTTATTTTTTGATTCGAAAAAAAAAAAGCTCATAAAACTCCTTTCCAAACATCACATTCCCTTCTTTACAATAACAATATCTCAGACAGGAAATGCGCCCTCTTTAACTAACTACAGCTCTGTTTCAATATTTTAGATTAAAATAAAGGAAAGAATTGCAAAAAGATAAATATTAAAATAAATACATGGAAAATCATGAAAAAAAAATTACATTTCTCTCTCTTATAAAAGATCATAAAATATGTTTTAATTCCAGTCAGTGTTTTTTTGGGAAATTTAATGCAATAATGAGTGGAGAAAATGCTAAAACACAGTCCGTTTCTCAATTCACAAGAACACAAGTACAGACTCGTGTCCTCGCCAAGTATGTTCTCGAGAAGAACATAGGAAAATATGGACGCAGCGTAAATATGGGTGAATGGGAACAGAAGTGTAATCGTGACGACGCCACATGCTCGGCTCGTCTGGAGCTGCATTTCACCTCCTGTTATTAATAATCTTTAGATAATAATAAATTCTTACTTTTTTCATTTATTGGGGGAATAATAATAATGAACACAGTCAGATAAACACAAATCAAATGAACATTTTTCCAAATTAAACAAAAAACTTGCCATCAGAGCAAGCGGTCCTTTCCACACGACTATGGCGAGAGAGGGCTGCTGTATTAGCCCTGGCTGTCGTTAGCCTCGGAGAGCCGCTGGTTGCCGCGGTCCTCTGAACTTTGCTATTCTTTTTTTTAAATTGCGCATTAGATCGTTAAATTGTGCCGCATAGTGATACTTAAAAGTAGAATATTCTCACCTCAAATTGCCTTAAAACGTACTTTTATTAAACAACAGCTACAGAAAAGAGAACTTTTAACCTAATACTCTGAGCTCTGTGAGCGCTCCATTGAAAGCTGCTGCTGCTGCAGTGCATGCTGGGAGAGTCTCAAGAACTGACAAGTCTGCTCTGATACTTAAGGCCAATTTATGCTTCTGACGCATACCCTCTGCAACTCTTAAATCTCTCTGTGTGCGCGACCACGCCCCTCTGTGCGCAGACAAAAAGCAGCTGTGATTGGTCCTTGGTATGCCTTTCCAGCTGTCTGTGTGGTCGTCCTTCTCGATTCGGTGCCGGGGCGCCTTTTTTAAAAACCGAGGAACAACTATGACAAAAGGTAATCGGCCTCTTAGCCAACTTTGTCCGTTCTCTGTCTGTGGTTCTGGTGAATTGGAACAGTACTGGGGCTGATGACGTTTCACGAGCACATGAGAACGCACAATTATGACACTTATGAAACATCCATAATTAGCTAGCATAGCTATTGTTTAAGAAATTAGCTGGCTCTTCATAATTTTTAACTATAATGATGAAGAGCCACACGATGGAGACCCTAGGAATAGAATATACAACCAAGGTCCAATGGGGATTTTATCAGACAGCATGAGAGGAACCTAATGAAACACAAAGCTGGGAATAATAAGATGACAAAGGAAGTAATGGATTATGAGCTCGGTAAAGCTGGGAGGGAAGTATCTGAAAATCATGAAAGAGCTGATAGAAGATACAGGGGAGAAGAAGCAGAATAGAAATTGCCAAATATATTTGTAGCAAAACACCAAAGTTTAAAAGATCTCAACAGAACCTTATCCTCAAAGGCAACTTGAAATCAAGATTAGCAAACCTAGCTGCTCTCAGGTAAGGAGAAAGGAGATGCCAAAGGAAAGGAGATTAAGGACAGCCCTACTGGACCACTTTGTTATTACTCTGGAACAAAAGACCAACCCACCCGGATCCTTTCTTTTGTGGACATTTCCAATGATTTTCCAAAGATTCCAGGGTTTGGAATCTTTGGAAAAAGATTGGTAGACGTAGGCGAACCCAGCTGGATCCTCTCATTGGACAACTCAGGAGCAGGGAACAGAGGACGACTGGTGCTCTAAGGTTAAATATAGGCTGATTCAGAGTAGAGGTGTAAGCCAGAAAAGACCAGAGAAAGAAAAGGAGACTGGTCAGAGAAAGACAAAAGGTGTTTTGCCATTTTTATTGGGGTTTCTGGAGCAGAGGCTGAGAGCCAGAATGCTTCAGGCAAAGGCCAACTTCAGTATCTTCAGTAGCTAATGGTAAGCTACCTGCTGTATCCAAAAACAGACACCAAGCTGTTATCGTCTCTCTGGCTCTATGTTTATTTCCTAATGTTTTTCCAGTGTAGTCCTGTTTCTCTGACTGTGACTGGCTGGATGTGCTCTCTTCATCCTCTGAGATGGGAGTTGGCTCAAAGCTTGTCTTCCTGGCTGTGTGTTTCCTGGACGGGGCCATCTTTTACAGCTGCTTTCTGTATCTCTGCTTCTGTCTCCTTGAACCCCAGATGGCCGCTCACACTGAACCTGGTTCTGCTGGAGGTTTCTTCTGTTAAAAGGGAGTTTTTCCTCTCCACTGTCACTACAGGCATGCTTAATGCGAAGGATTGCATTCGAGTCAATGAGTCGATGCAATCAACTGGTTTTCCTTAGATAGAAAACCTTGAATCAATTTGACTGGATGATCTGGTGAACTGTTAAGTGCCTTGAGATGACATGCGTTGAGAATTATATAAATAAACTAAATTTAATTTCTTTGAGAGCTGATGAGAAAAGCAACTCAAATACTATTAAATAATTCACATTCAAATTTTAAGTGAGTCACAGGGTGACACGATAATCTAGAATGCTAATAATAACGTAGATATACGCTGCTACACTATATTGCCAAAAGTATTTGCTCACCCATCCAAATTATTGGAATCAGGTGTTCCAATCACTTCCATGGCCACAGGTGTATAAATTCAAGCACCTAGGCATGCAGACTGTTTTTACAAACATTTGTGAAAGAATGGGTCGCTCTCAGGAGCTCAGTGAATTCCAGCGTGGAACTGTGATAGGATGCCACCTGTGCAACAAATCCAGTCGTGAAATTTCCTCGCTCCTAAATATTCCACAGTCAACTGTCAGCTGTATTATAAGAAAATGGAAGTGTTTGGGAACGACAGCAACTCAGCCACGAAGTGGTAGGCCACGTAAACTGACGGAGCGGGGTCAGCGGATGCTGACGCGCATAGTGCGAAGAGGTCGCCAACTTTCTGCAGAGTCAATCACTACAGACCTCCAAACTTCATGTGGCCTTCAGATTAGCTCAAGAACAGTGCGCAGAGAGCTTCATGGAATGGGTTTCCATGGTCGAGGAGCTGCATCCAAGCCATACATCACCAAGTGCAATGCAAAGCGTCGGATGCGGTGGTGTAAAGCACGCCGCCACTGGACTCTAGAGCAGTGGAGACGCGTTCTCTGGAGTGACGAATCGCGCTTCTCCATCTGGCAATCTGATGGACGGGTCTGGGTTTGGCGGTTGCCAGGAGAACGGTACTTGTCTGACTGCATTGTGCCAAGTGTAAAGTTTGGTGGAGGGGGGATTATGGTGTGGGGTTGTTTTTCAGGAGCTGGGCTTGGCCCCTTAGTTCCAGTGAAAGGAACTCTGAATGCTTCAGCATACCAAGACATTTTGGACAATTCCATGCTCCCAACTTTGTGGGAACAGTTTGGAGCTGGCCCCTTCCTCTTCCAACATGACTGTGCACCAGTGCACAAAGCAAGGTCCATAAAGACATGGATGACAGAGTCTGGTGTGGATGAACTTGACTGGCCTGCACAGAGTCCTGACCTCAACCCGATAGAACACCTTTGGGATGAATTAGAGCGGAGACTGAGAGCCAGGCCTTCTCGTCCAACATCAGTGTGCGACCTCACAAATGCGCTTCTGGAAGAATGGTCAAAAATTCCCATAAACACACTCCTAAACCTTGTGGACAGCCTTCCCAGAAGAGTTGAAGCTGTTCTAGCTGCAAAGGGTGGACCGACGTCATATTGAACCCTATGGATTAGGAACGGGATGTCACTTAAGCTCATATGTGAGTCAAGGCAGGTGAGCAAATACTTTTGGCAATATAGTGTATTTCTCATGCTGATACCAGACTAAGGTATTAAAATTGAGAAAATGATCTAAAACTCTTAAAAATCTTTAACGTGGACATGCATCCATATTTCAGGTTTATCATAACATGATCCCATTTAAGTCCTTTTAAAACCAGAAGATAAATCAGGTGTGTAATAAAACAGAATTTAAATCACTCTAGATGTATATTCCATAAAAATATGCAAATATATATCTTTAAAGGCATTTCATTTGTTCTTTTGTTGTTTTTTTTGTAAAAATGAAATATATTTTGTGGAATTGATCAAAATTATTATTATATACATAATATATTAGAATTAGGACGTTTGGGTTTTGACAATAATTGAAGGTGTAAATAGATTTTAGCTTAAATCCACAAGCTTTGGAGGCTTTCCTCTTTTTAAAAATTGGAAATTCATCATACTAGTATTTAATCAGTTGTTAAGGATAACAGAAATCGAAAAGAAGTATTTTTAAATGTATTTATAGGGGATTTGAAGGTTGCAGAAAATTATAAATTTATGCCACAGCTTTTCCGATATAGCTGTCGATGTAATTAATATTCTAACATCTAAAGTAGAGTCTAAACTTTTTCCCCCCGACTCGTGACCAGCTCTGCTGCTGCTCTACACCCATGCATAACTCAGATATTTGCCCCCAGGTGGACCGCATGTCCTTCCCCTGCGGCTGCACCAAGGACGGCTGCAGCAACAACGCCGGGCGGCTGGAGTTCAACCCGGTCCGCGTGCGCACCCATTTCCTGCACACCATCATGAAGCTGGAGCTGGAGAAAAGCCGAGAGGAGCAGTACCAGCATCAGCAGACCGAGCAGCAGCTTGTTACCAGTGGCAACGGTTACCATGGCGACACCCCCTTGATCCAGCAGCAGCAGCAGCAGCAAACCCCTCAGTCTCTAAAGATGAGCAATCCCATCATGCACCTCCAGAACACAGGTGAGGTTGATTTGCATCTGGACGAAGATGAGGAAGAGGATGAAGAGGAGGAGGAGGAAGATGATGAAGAGGAGGACGAAGCTTACGATGACGGCAGCAGTGTTTGCAGCGGGCTGTCGGACTGCAGCACACACAGTCTGGAAACTCTAGACACAGAGGATGGAGATGAAGACGAGGAGGAGGATGAAGAGGACGAGGAGGAGGATGATGAAGAGGAGGATGAGGAGGAAGACTGGGACTGTTCAATGCATGGACTGAGCCCCCCCTCATACTCTGTCCCCCTCCCCTCTGTCCTGAGTTATACCAACAGCTCACTGGTGAGCCTCAGTACCCCCTTTCACAGCACTCCCCCCATGCAGCACTATCAGACGGACGGCTCCATAAACCCCCCGCCTGCGTTCCTGGGGGATAACCTGAACGTTACACCCATGCTCCCCTCAGTCGAATCTGCTCTGGAGTCGGAAATCGGCAGCGAACTGCACCGGCAAACAGAGCAGCAGAGCCCCTTCTCTGAGCCCTGCTCACATGGAGACACGCGTGAGCACAGCGCTGCCCCCAGCGGCACTCCTGACCAGCAACCTCGCTCCACAGGCCTCCAGAAGAATCCAGGCTGTGACTCACAGGCAGGAGGAGAAGAGGAGCCTGGAGAGGAGCAAGCAGGGCAGGGGATGCAGGGAGACATCAGTCAGACAGCATCATCAGAGAATAACTGCTGAGCTGCTGTTAGGACATCTTTAGACATGAAATTGTGAAAATATATTCCTCCTCCTCAGCTTCTTTGTCACAAACACACATGCTTTAAGATCAAACTAAGTCTTAATAACAATAACTGCAACTTGAGTAAATACAAAATACAGTTTTCAAATGAATTCATTCTAATAGGGAGGAAAAAAGGCCATCCTATGAGTCACACTTAAGCTGGGTTCCTATTGGACAAATTACTCCAAGAGCACATCAACCACCCAGAATGAAATTAATCACTGCAGCAGGGATGGAGAATATGGAAATGTTTTTACTAACTTTACGGTTACTTTTAGCAATAACAAGAAAAATGGCAATAAAGGGATTCGGAAAATTAGGAAGGTAAGGCATAAAATAAAATAAAGGTACCCATTAGAAGAATGAATTTGTATTTACTCAGCTTACCTTTGTCTGTTATTTATATTTCCTGGATGATCTGAAACGTTCAAGTGCAACAAAAAACAGTTAAAAACATTAAGGTGGTAAATCACTGTAACTATAAACGTTTGCTCTATTGTTGAGAAGCAAACGTTGAAGGACTGTCACTTATTTTGACTCAGAAAGCTCTGCTTTTGATTCATTCCCGGCAAAAGTCGTGAGCAAACCTAAGACTCAATAACGAGATCCGGTCTGTAACTCTGAATCTGCGCTGATGGTTTTATAATTCCCAAATTCTGTTTTAAAGGTTTTAAAGGAACTGCCGCATGCTTATCTGCTTGTTTTGGCATCTGTGACAAATCAGAGCAGGATTTGGAGGTGCTTGTATTGTTTTGGTATTTTCCGTTGTGCTGCCCGTCGCTGCTAATGTTTCTGAAATGCTTCTCTGTACCGCATGAGTTCAGTTTACTAAAGGTGTTCCTCGGTGTGCTCATTCCGTTGCAGTTCAAACACAAACCCATCTACTGTAAAGAGATGCATTAATCCTGTCAATAACTAAGCAGTGCTTTGCAAAACTATTCACACAGGCTGAACCTTTCATATTCTGTCACTTTATAACCACAAACTTCAATCTTTCCTGCCTCTGAGGAAAAGTACCCCACAGCATCATGCTGCCACCACCATGTTTCACAGTGTGAATACTTGCTTTATAGAGTGTTTGTTTTCAAGCTTTTTTTTTTTTTTATAAACAAAAAACACTAAAAGTTCCTTCTTTTTGGTCTATTACATAAAAACACAGGTAAATACATCTAAGTTTGTGGTGTTATCATGACAAAATGTGTAAGAGTTCAAAGGTTATAAATACTTCTGAAAGGCTATATATCCTGAACCATATCATTAAAGTGTCCTGGTTGTTTTCCAATGATCCTCCTTGCTTTATTTTAGCTAATGGTCTTAAAATTTCAACATTTTGTTTCCTCAAGATCGGTTAAAAGTAGAGCCTCTTTCTTTTTAGTAATATTGCTAAATGTATTTTTATTAATATTTTTATCATTATACCTTTATTTTTACAGGTAAGTCATTAAGAATAAATTCTTATTCACAATGGCGGCCTGACAAGCGGAATAACCACTTAGGAAAAGGGAAGTAGGGCTAAAATAAATAAAATACATTAGTTATACATAAAATACAAACACAAGAGCTAAAATAAATACAATATATTTGTAATACATACCTAAAATAAAATTAAAAACACAAAAGACAGCCCAAAAATCAGTAACGAAGTAAAAATACTTCACTACTGTACTTAAGTATATTTTGGAGTACTTTATACTTTGCAAGAGTGTACATTTTTTTGAGACCTTTCACTTTTACGGCACTACATTTACAACTTAATTGTATACTTTTACTCAGATACATTTTCAATGTTTGGTTTAGTTAAACGTTAAGTAAAAAACAAACAAAACAAAAAAAACGAGTGAGTGAAATGCAAGTGTTTTTACCCCGCCTACTGACTACAAAGTCGGGTCTTGCCTGGGCTTGTTCATCAACACCAATAGGTTACGCCTTTTTCGCAAAGCCAGTCTAAATTTATCCTACACTTGATCATTAGCCTCGTGAGACCATCCTGATCTCACGAGCTTTCAAGATTTCACTCGCTAATCAGTCTGGAGACTCTCCGTTGAAGAAAATTTGGAGCCGTTCAACAAACGAACGTCCAATCAACATTGGCTTTGAGGCGGGTTGAGGTGTGACGCAACGAGAAGTGCGACAGTTCAGTCTAAAGAACATGGCGGCTTCAGCCGATGAAACTAGCGTTAGCGTGGCTATCGAGCAAGTTTTATCGGAATTACAGAGTATTTCTTCACTGAAAGAAGAGCAGAACACTGCTCTGGGGTTTTTTTTTAGAGGAAAATATGTTTTTGCTCTTCTCCCGACTGGTTTCGGCAAGAGTAGCCTGGCTGTTAGTACGTCATATGCTTCGTTGATCTGATTGGTTTATTTGGCCCGTCTATCACCAACATAGTTTACCAAAATATAAAAAAATGTCAATCAAACTGCACCTACTTTGTACTTATACTTTTCACTACATTACTTGAGTACATCTATTTTTACAGTAATTCTTATACTTAAGTACAAGCCATTTCAGATACTTTAAGACTTTTACCCAAATAACATTTCAGTCAGTGACTTGGACTTTTACCAAAGTCATATTTTGGAGAGGTACTTATACTTTTACTTCACTCTGAGATTTCAGTACTTTATACAACACTGCCAAAAATGACTATGTAGAACCAGCTGCAAGTGTCTGTGAATATGGATGATATAATTGTTTTGAAGGACAGAAGTGAAATTAGTTTAAGAATATTCCGCAGAGCATTCCAGTCAGGAGCAGCAGCAGATTGAAAAGAAGCAAGACCAAAAGTAGTGTTGGTTTTGGATATTGTTGTGCCGATGCCATTTTTTGGCCCCGATACCTGGCTGTGCGGTATTGGCCGATACCATTTGTGAGTGTGTATATATGTAGAACTGCATAGTACTTGGATAAAATAATTGCCATCATGGCTTTGTCAAGCTGCTGCCTACCTTTGTGAAGCAGGAAAAAGACTAATACAAAGTGAATCCAGTAGAACTTTTTATTGCCTACCTGGAATAGGCTAACCTGACTCTGCCAGATGGATTTGCTACGCATATCCTTCTGGAAACCTTCCGTAGAAGTAATTTTAGGAAGGGGCGAAAATACTGGTTAGCTGATTGGCCTATGTTGGTGATAGACGGGCCAAATAAACCAATCAGATCAATGAAGCATATGACGTAACAGCGACGACGAAGAGGAGTCAATTGATAGATCAAACTCTTGCCGAAACCAGTTGGGAGAAGAGCAAAAACATCTTTTCCTCTGAGAAAAGCCTCCAGAGCAGTGTTTTGCTTTTCTTTCAGTGAAGAAATACTCTGTAATTCCGATAAAACTTGCTCGATAGCCACGCTAACGCTAGTTTCATCGGCTGAAGCCGCCATGTTCTTTAGACTGAACTGTCGCGCTTCTCGTTGCGTCACACCTCAACCCGCCTCAAAGCCAACGCTGATTGGATGTTCGTTTGGTGAACGGCTCCAAATTTTCCTCAATGGAGAGTAGCCAGACTGATTAGTGAGTGAAACCTTGAAAGCTCGCGAGATCAGGATGGTCTCACGAGGCTAGGAATAGGTGACAACAGTTGAATAAACTTTTGGCTCTCACAATGGTATCGGTATCACTGCAACACTAGTTTTGGAAGTGAGTTGTTGGCATTTAACTTCCTAATTTCATTTTTTGGGATCTTTTAAACCCCTTTTTCCCTTTCAGTACACTTTTATTAAAGTATTTTATGCTAATGATTCAAAATCTGTTGTAAGGAAATGTAGCACCTCTAACTACCAGCAGCAGACAACAGAGGCTTTGGTCTTATAAGAGTCCTGTACCCCATCAACGGGTCCATTCAGAAGCAGATAGGATAGATAGGCATCAAATCTATTTTATGATGAGAAATCTGTTTCTGTGTGTAGCAGGTTGTTTGTACAGTAAATTCTACACAGTATTTGTTTCTGCACATATTTTGCACATATGTTTCTAAATGCATATAAATGTCAAAAAATACACCATATGGTCAACTTGTGATACTAATAGGAGTTAGTTTGGTGAACATTTAGCAAACCTCACTGGTTTTCCTGCTTTTACCTGGGAACTTTTTGGTGTGAAGTTATTCAATGCATGAAAAATGGATCTAAGGATTAATCTGATTAATTGATTACTTAAATACTGGTCAAATAATTCATTAACCAAATAATCCTTAACTGGAGTATGCATGTATGATCTAAAACATGCAATAAAGTGAACCCCAGAGCAGCATTAAAGCCAGGAAAATAAAGTCAAGTTGCATTTACTAATAAATTCCTTCATCTGTAAATAAACTCTGTCCAGAAATCCTAAAAGAGCATTTTAAAAATGGGATTTTTTTTATTTCTCAGGCCTTTTACAAATGCAATGTTCAATAATTTGACTTTATTTTGTTATTTAAACACGTTTGAAAAGACGTTTGTCTTAATTTACAGAGAATCTCCTTTTGGATTAATTGTAGAAAAATATTTCTACATAACCAATTTCTAGATTAAACAGGTGCAGCTGTAGGTTAAACCACAATTCACGACGATTAAATGGACCATAACTTCAACACCTTATGAGTGCTCGATGGACGGATTCTATAAGCAACTGCAAAGCTTATTTAAAATGGTTTAAGCAGCACTTCAACACAGCTTAAAAAGAACAAGAACAAAAAAAAAATCAAAAATAAAATGAATCCATACCTTAAAATTCCCCTTTTGGATGCATATATCGTCTGGAATGTCAATGGAACAGCAGATGTGGAGTCATTCAAGGTAACAAGACATTTGGATTTATTCAATTTTTGGTAAAAGCCAATTAGCAGCTAATTACTGGTGAACCAAAGGTAATAACTGACTTTGACACGTCAGGTGAATGAAAAAGCTAATATTGTTTTACTGTATGTTGGTTCCCTCTGTCTGTCTCTGTATATATATTCATATAGAGCTTGCATTACAATTTTAAACTGAAGAAATCCATGCAGTCATTTTTGGCATCTACTTAATTAGAAATTGTTAATTTAACTCTATTGCTTCATTAAATAATTATGTCATGTAAATATGATTAAGCAGATTCCCAGTAGTTTGCATTAAGTTGAACCATCATTTCTGTGTCTCTCTGGTTTTATTTGTGCATTCAAATCATAATGCTCTCTGCAGAGTAATTTCTCAGGTCACAAGATATTCATATCTGGCTGGAAATCAAGTCTTTCAATGTCAGATTTATTTAACAGCCAATGAACTACAGATTACACCTCAGACAAACCAGAAATACTGGTTCCCAGAGCACCAATTAGTGTAAAACTATCAGAGATGGGAAGTAACGAAGTACAAATACTTTGTTACTGTACTCAAGTAGATTTTTCTGATATTTTTACTTTACTTTACTACTTATTTTTATGGCGACTTTTTACTTCTACTCCTTACATTTTTACACAAATATCTGTACTTTCTACTCCTTACATTTTAAAAAATTGGCTCGTTACTTTAGTTTTGAATCATTTCAATGGAGTTACCGTTATTATTTTTCACGTCATCAATACCAAATTCAATCTAATTGGATGGGAATCTACGTTGCATTTGACACACCACTACAAGATGAATCGGCAGATTCGGCAGTATTCATTGGCGGCAAATCATTGCAGCTTGGTGGCGGTGGCGTTAGCATAGTAGTATGGACGACAAGATGATTGAAAATAAACACAACGGAGATCTAGTCCTATTGGCAGACATCCATTTAAAATGTAGACAACGGCATGAAAAAAGTGGTTTCTACTTTTACTTTTATACTTTAAGTAAATTTACAAGCCTGTACTTTGTTACTTTTACTTGAGTAAAGAAGTTTAATCAGTACTTCCACTTTTACCAGAGTATTTTTTAACACAAGTATCTGTACTTTTACTCAAGTACGGAAAGTGAGTACTTTTGCCATCTCTGAAAACTATTAAACTGGTATTTTCATTTGAGGTTTAGTTATTAATAATAGTCTGATAATAATATTGAGTTTCTACTGTTCATCCAGCAGATGCTGCTCTCCATCCTTCCTCTTTGTTTCCACCGAGATAGTTAAACCATTGCTCTTGATGTAGATGTTTTTTTTATTGATTTTGCTGTTCTCTTTTCAATCTTCTGACTAAATCTGTATCCCCACCCCATAACTGTACAACCCACAGGTTTCTGGAACAGTGATGTGTTTTGGTCTCAATCAAATACTGAGGCTCTTTTTTGATGCCATTACTCTTCTTAACCTCTGGGGGGCACTGCTGAGCTTGCTTCAGATAAATGTGT